TTCACATCCCCCCTGTTCTCAGAGGCTCAGAAGCCTCTTGCCTTTGCAGACAGTGACACTCACATGTACAAACCCATAGCAGACAGATACTAAAGCAAACACATAATTAAAAAATAATAAAATGCATGTTAAAGAAAGAAAGGCATGGGGTATAAAGAAAGATTTCTTTTTCAAAGATGAAAAATGAAGAAAAGGATGATGGATGTGTCTACTTTTATTTTTTGGAAATCATTTCAAAGGAATAGCTTGTAAATGACCTCTCCCTCTTTCCCCCCCCTTCCTCTCTCCCTCTCTGTCTCTCTCTTCCTCTCTCTCTTTGAGAAATAAGAAATGAGTGGAAGGGTGAAGTCTTGATAAAAATAAAGAGTAGAAACCCTATCAATGTGCAGATCAACAGGGAAGAGATGCTGGTGTACATGGAACTGCAGACTCAGCTGCTAGAGCAGGTGTGAGTCCACATCTGTATGGCTCTAGGGTGTGCTCCAGCAGTTGGGACAACACCATGTCTAAGCTGTGGTCAAGCAGATAACTTGGAAGAGAGATGCAATCATTTACCAAAGGAGGAAAGGAAGCTAACACTACAAGGAGAAAAAAATACATCAGGAGAAAATGATGGGCATCAACAAGGCCAGAGAATTGGGCCAGGAAGAATGATCCTGGCAGGAAGTGGCCCATGAGAGAGTGCAAGCCAGAACAGACTGACAATGGATTTAGAAGAGCATGAGAAGACCAAGACAGTGTCCAAACCTATCAGGCCTTTGATTTCAGGCAGTGCCTTAAACCACACACAAGGACTACAGTAGTGCTGAGAGGGGAAAGGGGGTGTACTTTTTTTTTTAGACCCTAGAGGAACTGTAAAGCAAGGTCAATCTAGAGCTGAAAAGATGATGATAATAATAATAATAATAATAAACACCTTATTCAATTGCTGTTTTCCACTGAGGTGATCCCTTCTCCTTTCAGTCAAGGAGCAAGCTAAGGAAGAGCAGGAACCTCTGCCCAACCCACTTCTGGAAATCTAAGTCCTTATCCTCCCAATGTGATGCATCTAAATCTGTATGTTTTATGAGAACATGGACTAATGTACCAGCTGACACAGCCAAGGTCAGCCTATAGCGGCCCTCCAGGAGACATCTGTCAATGTTTTTCTTTGTTACAGTTGGGCAGGGCTGCAATAGGGGCTTCAGAACCTTTGAAGCATCTTATATGCACAAGACAGTTTCCCTCAGACAGCATAAACAGGAATTATCTGACCCACAAGGAAAACAAGCCATTTGAAAAACCCTAGTGAAGGCTCCAAAGCCCAGAGCTGTTCCAGGAATTTTCTGCACAGCTATCTTAAGTTTATTCTGCCTGAGGACTTCCTTTCATGGCAACTTTGAAATCTATTTTTTTTTTTCTGCTTGCTCTCCCATTAGGATTCCCCAGTCATGTGTTTCCTTTTTTTTTTTTTTTTTTAACAAATTAATGTAATCTAGTATTTAATTTTGTTTTGACAATTTTTTCTTCACCTCAAGGTCCAAGAAACATCCCTCTTCTTCAGACTTTAAGGTCTCTTCCTGTACAGATTACCACAGTATGTAGATTCTCTAGGGTACATGTTCTATGAGCCTGTATGATGCCACCTGCCACATGCAGGTCTGGTTATGTCAAATTGTGAGCACTAAAATGGGCATAGGCTGTTGGGCAACTTCCAGACCCTTCACTAAAGAAATTATTAAATGTCAAAAGCAAAACAGCCTCAATTCTACTGAAAGCCCTCATGTTGATAACATTTCCTAAATTATAACTTGAGTAAAAACCAATATCTTAGTGAAAATAAAATCTTGCTTTCCAAACACACCCTTGTTTTGGGGGAGCGGTTCACCTACTGCAATTTCTTCTGGGCCACTTGCCACAAGCAATGGTCATCATCACACAGAGTTCTGTTTGAGTGGCTCACAGTCCTGAACCATGATCTTCGGTGCTGCAAATCCATAACTTCTGAATGTCACAAATGGATGATATTCAGAAAGCAATGAGGTTATAGTCACTATTGTTAAGAAGATTAAATTACACCAAGCAAAGGAGGGATAATCTATAACCTCAATAAAATCCAAGCACCCTGCCTTCCTCTGCACATTGGCCACAGGGGACAGGTAGGGTGTGATAACCATACATCAGTGTCCCCCAAGGCTCAGCTTTAATCATCCTGGGATAAGTCACTGTGTTTATGTTGTGTGCTCCAATGTTATAGTGACTGGGAAGTCTCACTAGTTCCAGATAGACTTTCCCTCTAGGAGTAGACAGCTTTTCAAGATAACAAAGTATCTCTTATAAATTCATTTACCAAAGGAAACAAGTTGATGCAGTTTCTGCCATCCCATCATCTTCCCACTGGGAGTCCCTAACTGGGCTATCATCCATTTGTCCTGTAAAATAGGGCTACCACAAACCTAGTTGTCTATGCCTCATGTACCATAGTCTGTCTGCCAATCCTATGCCTGACTGAACCTGTTTCCAATGGAAACACAATGAAGGTCATTGTGCACATTTTCCCAATGTTATTAGCTATATGTAGTTTGAAACTCCTGTATGTTTTCCCACATGGCCTGTGTGATCCCTATTTTGGGACCTTTGAGTAACAACACATCTTTTCAAGGGTGTTGTTTCCTGGCCTGTAGGACATTTAAACCAGTGCAATAAGGACAAGGGTGGTCTGAGCAAGCAGTTGAGTGAGATTCAGTGTCTAGATAACAGCAGGAAAATGGGTATATGTTGTTAGGGAACCTTCTCTGATTATTGGATATGTGTGGGCAGTGCTTATATTCTAGGGAAAGAAGTCATGCATACATGGTAGAAAGGGTGATCAGGCGGGGAAGTTGAGCCAATCTACCAACAAAGGATGGACAGGAAATTCGGTGTCATAAGCTGAGATGAGCAGATATCACTGTTCCTGGAATCTGTCCCTTCAGTCTTGGAGGTGAGATAAGGTGAGAGCAGTCCTGACAGAATATTACTGATTCCTACTTCCCATTATTTCCAAGGATGGAGAAAAGGAGGAAGAATCCCAACATCGGTTTCACATGGTGTTCCTAGCTCCTAGCTATAGAAATGCAGAAAAGAAAATCCCTTACTTTTTAAGCACAATAAGATTTTCATGTGTTTATTTCTTATATGTTATTTGTTACAGGATAACATAAACTATATTCTTAAAAATGGTATTAACTTTCATATTCTAGTGGCTATACCACAAACTAGTTTTCATTGAATGAACTCTAGAGTTTATATCCACCAATAATTCAGCCTCAATCTACTACCCATATTACCAGAACCAAACTTTGAATGGGTAGAAATTGTTCAAACTGTGGGTGGTTTCAGCTAGCAGATGACTCTTCCTATGAGCATCTTCTGTGGCCAACTTTAGCAAAGAAGCAAAAGGCAAGCATCTGAACTTGAATATAAATCACCTGACAATAAGGAACAGGCTATAAAGCTTTATGTGAGCATTCTTAAGGGAGGGAGAGTTTGAAGTGCTGTTTTCCACTGAAGATACATAGTAAAGGGAAGCAGAGCACACAGTGACAGCAGCTTGTGACAGGTCATCTGGCAAATTATTGACCAAAAGCATGAGAAACAGCAAGGTGGGCTCTCTCTCCCTGCATGACGCTGTCTCACTTGGAGCCAGTAAAAGTATGTCACCCACCCCTCATGTTTTATTGCCATTCTGAGTGATAAGGTTCCCATAAAGTGAAGGTAGTTACACATTATATATATATATATATATATATATATATATATATATATGTATATATATATATATGTGTGTGTGTGTGTGTGTGTGTGTGTGTGTGTGTGTGTGTGTGTAACTAGCAGCTACATATAACTGCCAAGAATGCTACATAATTCTAACCTAACAATACTAAATGGAAGTGAAAAAGTTTATCAACCTAAAAGACTACATTATTCTATAGACAGAAAGGGAGTAGATCCAGATGCAGGATGGGAGAGGAACTAGAATGAATAGAGGGAGGGGAAACTATAATCATGACACATTGTATAATAAAAGAATCTTTTTTCAATAAAAAGGGGAAAAGACAGCATTGTTCTCTATAAAAGTTATGATTAAAAAATTTGAAGAAAATTAGAAAAGCATTCAATGGAGCTGGAGAGATGGTTAAAATGTCAAGAGGACTTACTATTCTATCAGAATGCCAGAGTTTATTATACCCCTGCACCCATATTGCCTGGCTCATCAAAAAACCTGTATTTCCAAGTCCAAGGGATCCAATGTCTCCTATGGCCTACATAGACTCCTGCATACATATGACCATGCCCACACACACACAAAGAAAAGGACAAAGAATATCATTCAAGACACTCTGAAAGACAAGAGTTATAACACGATTTAGTGTTCACAGACCCTCATAGGAAAATAATTAAGCTTCCAAGGAGTGAATGAAAGGAAGACATGAAGAGATGGTTAAAGGAGGAGAGATCTAACAGATACAAGAACAAAAGTCTTCAGTCCTTCATCAACCATAACAAAAAGGAACCACAATGAGTCTCTTTTACCCTCTTACCCTGTCAGACACCTTTATAAACACACATCTTGTGGTAAAGCACTTTGTGATGCACTTTGAGTGTGGGCGAGGCATATAGTGGTTCCACCTTCTGATGAAGCACTCTGTGTCTAAGGTGGTCATTTTTCCTCTAGACTCTATCTGGACCCTGCAATCATTTTTTTTTTCATTACTCCTTTTGTCAAAACAAATGAGGGCACAGTGCCTCCTGGGAAAAGGGAAGCAAAATGTTTTAAAGAAACTGCCTGAGAAATGCTATGTCTTTGACTTAATAATTATAGTTATTTTAACTGGCCCTAAGTTACCCAGAACCTCTATCCACTATAAGATGTCAGGAGGAACTAATTGGAGCAAACAGTTTGGAAAGAGCCTTTGTTATAACAGGCGTCGTGCTGCTGAGTTGACAGGAAAACAGAAACAGACAAAGAAACTCAGTACCTGTTCTTGATGTGCTGAGGAGGGCCAAGACACCTGAAGCTGCCATTCACCATTATGGCTAGCCTGGTACACAGAGCCTCGCACTCTTCCATGCTGAGAGGAAATAAATAAGTAGAAATGAGCCATGTTGTAAAGGTATGAGCCCTGTTCAAGCTTCAGAAATAAAAAGGAGGGAAAAACACCACTGATCCAAACTAAGTAACTTTTAATATAGAATACTCATGAAAATGAAATGAAGTGATTTGAAAATTCCTGAGATTTTGCTTAAGTAGCTAATTTAATGAAGGTTGTTAGCATATCTATGTGCCTGGAAAAAATGATCAGTAATAAAATATACAAGACATAACCATTTATAATCATCAGAAATACAGCAATACATGTACAGGGGATCTTAATATGTGATTTCTTCACAAAAAGAATGCCATAACTTTACTGACAAGAAAAAAAAAATGAAATCTTGACTCAATAAAAGAAGGAAAAAGGCTGAATATTTCAAAAATAGGAAACTGTTATAATATGAAAGTGAATATAATGTAAGATGAGTTCCCTTACTGGTTATCCAAAACAAAGGGGACTGCCTGGAAACCATATACACACAAACAACAAAATTAGGTTGTATTTCTATATTTGTACAGACATATACATAATATATATGAGTGTATCAATAATACTCAAAGAAAAAGTCTATCAATTTGATAGTTAAGAGTTAACATGAGAGGGTTGGAGAAGACTACCTGTGTGGGGCTGGAGGGACGAAAGGAAAAGTGATGTAATTCTGTTTTAATAAAAAAAGCATAAAAATGTAAAAGAATTTCATTAAGACAAAGACCCCACAATTTTAAAAAGGTTTATATTTATAGCCTATAAAGTATGATATAAAATCTTAGTGATAAACTTTTAAATTGTAATTATAATTTAAATTATAAGATTATATAAGATTATATTACTATCCAGCATCAAATTTTAAAGATCTACAATTCATAATTATTATAACTATGATTTATAAATTACAATACAGCTGGAATATTATTCAAATCAAAATGCAATCACCACCAAGAAAATGCTGAAAATTTTAATTTAAAATTAGTTAAAGAGGAAACTGTAGAAAATGTTGTAAGGAAAGGGCACTACCAGAAGAGGTTGTTACAATTGCTGAATTACACAGAGAAAACTCCTTGAATTTATGCCAGAGAAATGGCATTATAACAAAAGAGCCCCAAACATACCATAGGTAGTACAAACACAGAAGTGGTTTGAGCATAAGAATGCACTTTCTAAACATAACAGTAGTGGAAGAAACTCTGGGGAAGTTGTTGGATATACTTCACAATCCAAAATTCAAGCCTCCTAACAAAAGTCTCAAAACACAGTGAAAACATTTAAAAGAGGCTGCAAAATATCCATCCTTAGATGACATATTTATGTCACATCCTCTCTCCCAAAATCAAAGGATCATTGTGGAAATTGGAGAAGATGGTGGGAGCCAGAGGCTGTGGATGACTGCAAGAAAACAGCATCTTCCAAACACAAGACGGCAGCTGCGCACATGAACTCACAGTGATTATGATAGCATGAAGAAAATCTGTGAGCCCAAGCCAGACAAAATCCCAGCATGAAAGAAGAAGGTGGGCATGCAGTCCTACTCCTAGCTGCTAGGCTTCCTTTAACGGTGTGGCCCTGAGAAAGTCAGCTATGCTCCAGTGGGTGACCAGCCTCCCAAAACAATATAAAAATGTAACAAATTGGGCTTTATGGATTGAAAACAAAGCAAGGGTAAGGAAGGCGATGGGTGTCTAGGAGTTACTGGAAGGTGACTATAATCAAATCCATTGCCAGAAATTCTTAAAGAATTAATAAAAATAAGAATCTAGTTTATCAAAGTAATTACTGAACAATTAACAAAATAAACCATACAAACAAAGCAACAGACAAACCAAGAGTTGTTCAATCCCGACTTCTGTGTTGAAAAGCTAATGTCTTTTCCCCTCTATTCCATTCCAAATGAAGCAGGGAGTCTTCAAATCAATAATACCCAGTTAGTTATAGACATTTTCTCAGAAATTCAAAATGAGTCATCTCATATGCAGACAGTGAGTAAAAGTGCCATCAAATTTTAAAATTATATTTGGCCATGATTTCTTTTCTAGGAACTGAAAAAATGCAAACTGAGAATTATATAAACAAATTATTTTACCAGTAGCCCAGGACTTCTGGGAATCTAGGAACTCCCTGTCATGTAGAGACATCAACCCAGGTCTATACTCTCCTTGAATACCTCACAGGAAGGAATTTCAGGTGAGAGTAGCAAAAGGAAAAGTTTATTAAGAAGACAGAGAAGCACATCCATGACTGAAACTATACATCACAGGTTGATCTGAGGGAACATAGTCAACAATACAAATGGTTAAGTGAGAGAACAAAATGTCTTGTGCGAGATGTCATAAATCAAAGCTGTTTGTTGTATGTAGTAGCTTAACATGAGGTCTATGGAGTATATCATATGAACAGCCTAAACCGGCCTCATATGTTTTCTGACCATTTCTTTCTTTCCTTGCTTATTTATTCTTATCGTAGCACTGGAGAATAAATCCATATAGCCATGTGCCTACTAAACTAGCACTGTACCACCAGATGAAACCCTAGCTCCCTCTTTACTTTTCATTTTGAAATAGGGTCTCACTAAATTGCCCAAACTAACTTTGAACTCACTATGTAGCCCACGAAGGCTTTAATCCTTTAGCCTCCAGAGTCACTGTAATGATAGGTCAGTGTCACCAGGTCTAGCCTCTCTTTCACTAACTAATTTAAATTTAACATGTCTTGTCATGTTTATGGCACTGTCATGGGAAGAACATGAAGTCGTTTCTACACTAATTTCTTAAACATGCTTTGAACAAATGGAGTATTACAATATTGTCTGTGTGAGTTCCAACTTCAGAGTGAATGATATGGTAGGTCTAAGTCGATTGTACCACATGTTCAACATGTAAACCCAAAAGCATGTGGGTACAACAAAATCTCAGCCCTGAACTGAGTATCTTTCTTAGAAAGAAGAATACACAAAGCCTGAGACTGGTCAACAGTGAAAATAACCATGGGTCATCTGCTTAAAAACAAAGTAAACATGGATTCTCTTTCCTGGGTGGTTATTCTGAATAGTTTAGATATGTTATGAGGTGAGATGGGATTTAAAGCCTTGGATGGGAACTTTGGCATCAGGATTTGATGTGTAGGGGAAAGCAGGATGTCCTTCCCAGGATGGACGATAATTGGTTCTCCCTCTCTCCATTATCTGCCTCATGTGTTCCCAAGAATGCTGTGTGTTAAGGCATATGTAGAGGAAAATATTGCGTTAAAATCACAGAATCGCACTGGCCTCCCTCATCTTCATTCACAATGAGTCATTCACATCTTTATATTGTATGAATAGGGAGAAATCAATCTGTATATATGTAAATGTAGAATATTGATGTGAAAGCAAATGAATAGGAGGTTTTAAAAGAGAAACCTCAATGATAAGTGGTCTCTTTGAGAGAACAGTTTATAATAATCATATATATTATGAAAAATAAAAAGAATTTTCATCATTATACAACTTCACCCATCTAAGGACCCATGGTGGACCATGCCCGTGCCAGCAACAGATGCAAGCAGTCTCAGCATATCAGTGTGTAACTGCTAAAGCTCCAGAACAATGTGAACATATACAGCAATAATATATCATTCATATATATATATATATATATATATATGTGTGTGTGTGTATGTTTATATATGTTGAATAAGTATCAAATTCACTTGCTTCAGCAAAAAAAAAAAAAAAAAAAAAAAAAAAAAGAAAAGAAAAGAAAAATTCCTCTGGGAAGTAAAATAGAATATAAACAAAACTCAAGCATGGTCCTTCTGGTTACATCTGAGATCTGAGTGAGAAAATTATCAAATAATTGTCCTCAAAGCCAACTACAAAGTTGGACATAATTAAGGAACCAGCCATTTTAGAATTCCAAGAATGGACCACAGGCACATAGGCATGTAACTCTGTGAAAACGATGCCAAATAGCCATGGACACAATAAGAATATGGTAATCTGTGGCTCACTGTGGGCTACTATCTCCCTGCTTAGCTTCAACAATGGCCACTGAGGACAGGCCAGGACAGGTCAGGAGATGAGCTGAAAACCTCCACAGGAACCTACACCCAGTTTCAAGATGGGAGAAGAAAAAAAAGTCGTAGGACCTAGAGATCAATAGAAATTATCCAATCTCAAAATAAATATCTGACAAAGAAAATAAAACAAAAATGGACAAATATTAAATTAAAATACGATAACTACAGACTTATTTTCAGTGCTCAGAGATGCAGTGTCATCTAACATGTCCACTCTTCAACAAAAAGGCTTTATGGAAAAAATAGAATGTAATTCCTTTATTGGCCTCTGCTATATGTAATATAAAGACTTCTAATAAATTTGAAATGATAGAAACTACAAAAGAACCTTTCTCAAAGCCTGCCAAAGTTAAATTTAAAAGGAACAACAGGAAGAAGCTAGGAAAAGTTCCAAAAAGCATTGAAAATTAAGATTTCTAAATAAACTGTGTATCAGGAGTAAATCACAGGGGAGACTAGAAAACATTTTTTAGTGAATGAAAGCTTCAGTTAATAGAAAAAAGATGGGAAAGTGATACAGCTTGTTGGTCAAGCCTCATAAAAGCCCTGTAATGGGGACAGTGCTGTGTGCTGAGGGCAAGAGGCCATCCCAATGAGAGAAAGTAGGAAACTGCCCATCACAGAGTGCCAATTTGATTATCACAACACACCCTCCATAATGATGGGGAATGAGAAGTTCTCCCTACAAAACAGTTCTGGAACAACTGAGTAGCCACAAATGTAACAATGAGTTGAGACTCTTGTATTAACTGTATATAAAATAACTTTAAGTATAGAAAAGATCATTAAGTGGTAACAGTATTAATCTGTCTTAGAACACACATTCTCATGAATTGTGGACCCAAAGTTCTTAGGTATAATTTCTAAGGACAAACCACAGAAACAGAGAATAGTTAAACTTAATAAAACCTTTACACATTCATAGTTCCAAAGACAGACACAGACCAAGAGGAAGCATTTGAAATCATATATCAAACAGGAGACTTTAACACAGTATCTAACAAGACTCAGTGTATAACCTTTCCTACTTAAATAATTAAATGGAAATATAAGTTCACAAAAATACAAGGAAAGATGATACTGCCCTTTGGTAAAGGTGTAAAACCCCAGTGACTTGGGAGGCTCACACAGAGAAAACAAAATTTTAAGGCCATCCTGAGCTAGGGAGGAAATTGAAGGACAGCCTGGACAACTTTGAGACTTTACCTCCAAATAAAGGATAAATGAGAGATGGGAATGTAGCTCAGTGGTAAAAAAAAAAAAAAAAAAATGCCTGGTATGTGTGAGGCTCTAGGTTTTATTTGTATTGCCACCAAAAGAAAAAAGGAATTCTTTGCAAGTCAAACATGAGCTCATTGCACAGTCCAACAATCAAGCTCCTTGGCATTTACTCAAAAGGTCTGAAAAACATCCACATAAAAACCTGCATATGGATGTTTATAACAGTTTTGCTTGTAATTACCCTAACTTGTCAGTAATCAAAGCATCTGTCAGTGTGTGAGCAGACAAACTCTGGCACAGCCAGACAATAGAATATTGCTCGCTGTTGAGAAGTGATGGGCTTACAAACAAAGGAAGTAAGGAAAGAAGCTAGCTTTGAAAGGCTTGGGTGGCATTCCAGATGTGTGACTTCTGGAAAAGGCACAACCTTACAGGCAGTAAAATGTCTGATTGCCAGAGGTCAGGAGAATGAAGGGTGAACAGGGTAACATGAGGAACTCTTCAAGCAATGTAGGAAGCAAAGGCTATATCTTCAGATTGAACATTATTTCCAAAGCCAGGGAATGCCCAACACCAAGAGGAAAGGCAGTATAAGTATGGAGTCAGATGAGGCTTCTGTGTGTCTCTGAGGATTTATTCCCTATAGAAAATATCCCACTCTAAACAAATGTTGACAAATGTGTCCACACATAAGGGTGTGGGTACACAGTTAATCTCTTTAAGTTTGTTTATTTTTTTACTTATTATTTCTCTGTGTGTGTGTAAAAGTGAGATGTTGTATATGTTATATTATACATGTGTGACTATGAGAACATGCAAGTTATGACATGCTTGTGGAGGTCAGAAGATGGCTTTTAGGAGTTGTTTCTCTCCTTCAACTGTGGGTTTGGGCAATCAAAGTTGAGCTCCCAGACATGCACAGCAAGTGCCTTACCCACTGAGTCTCAGTGTCATCCCTACTTCGGAAAGTATGAGTCATAAACTACTCAGCAAGAACAAAGAATCAATTACTGACATGTGCTATACCCTGGGCAAGCATTAAATACTCTCTAAATGAAAGTGGTCAGATACAAACGTGTATGTGTTATATTACTCTATTAATAGGAAATGCCCACTAAAGTCAAAATTCAGAACTTAACAGTTCCTGACACCTAATTCATAGCATATTTTAGTTAAATGTGGAAGGAAAAACATCAAGCCTAAACTTATAACGTGTTCTTCATTCCATCTTCAGGGTTGTCATTAACCAAACTCTATCTCTCTCAATGTCATGGTTTCATGAAATCTACATTTGTATTGCTGCATGGCACGGAAGTGTTTAGTTATGTTGAGAGGGGGACTCTGGTGGAGAATTCTAACTACAAAATTAATTCTGTAATGAGATCCAGTAGCAGGTTGGGCATGCATTTCAGATGGTTTACAGGTGGGAATAGGGGGAGCCTGGGTATAAAGTTGTTGGGGATCCTTAGGAAAGGCAGACAGAGTCTGGTCCCCACCTGAGCAACACATGTGAGTGGATATATAGACAGAGGTCATGGAAAGGCTCCATTTATGACTCTGTTCCTCTGTAGGCCTTGTCAACCTGATAATGACTTTGTGCCCTTAGTCTCCCAATGGGCTCCTGGGACTAAAGACTAGTGAGGGCACTTCTGTGCCGTTCTCTGGGTGACCTCACTGCTACCCAGCCTTGTTCAGGGAGTGGCAATCAGAGAAGACAATCACCTGTGAGAGGTTAACACTGCAGCACAGCCATCCCGAACCTCCTGAGTTATTGTCTGCCACAGGTACCGTTTAGAGCAGGGGTCCATCCCAGAGCTGGGCTCATCCTGAGAGAAAGAGAAAACACAGTCGTGGCCATTTGATGGACATAGACAGGAATGGACATCTACTATCACACAGATACAGACCCTGGCAAGGAGGAAACCCCCACTGTGATTTGAACAGGGAAATCTCCATTGGGTTCTCTGCTATACAGGGATGAAGCAAGAAGAGAGGTGATACATATGAGTCCCTGGCTCTACCACTCCTGCAGAAAGCCACACAAGAGGCCTTAATTATTGTTACTAATCACAAACCTTCTCATTGTACCTTACCTAAGGTTTTGGCCCTCTGAAATGCTCTTCACCCCTACAGAACAAGGACAGATGCTCTCAAGAACACCTAGCATGTCTTGGTAGAATGACGACACACAAGAGTGAATGTATGGTGAATTGTTCTGAGAAAACAAACAGAAATCTCTCAGCCCTGCTCTACCTCTGAGAAAAGCTAGATAACCATAAGAATTTGCACATATCTGCCACAAGTGGTCAAAGTTGTATGTGCACATGTTGAGGAAATGTCTGAATTATTTGCCTGGCTGACTGGTGAAGGTGTTCCTCCAAAAAGTAGCTATTCAGACAGTCCTGTAAGATGACTGCTTCAGACCTGAGACAGAAATGGGAATTTCATGCAACTATGACACCACCAAATGCACACAGCAACATTCCAGTAACCACCTCAGTACAATGAAGAAGCTGAGTGACAGGATTGGAGATTATCAACTTTGCAAAGCTCAGTGGGTTACAAGTGATTACAAGTAAGAAAGTCAAGAGAATAAGGAAAATAATACATCAGGCTGGAGAGATGGCTTAGCGGTAAAAGGCTGGGCTCACAACCAAAAATAAAAGGAAAATAACACATGAACAAAACAGTGACTGCAAGGAGATGAAAATAAGGTGTGAGGAGCTGGTGGTTCTGAAGCAGAAACTTCAGAGAGCAAAATGATAAGTGCAACAGAGTTTTTACTGCAGACTGAATCCAGCCAATAAAGGAGTCATAAACACAGGCTATTTAAAACTATCCAATCATGGGAAGAAGGAAAACAGATGGAAAAGTAGCAGAGAAAATATTCAAGGGATGTGTGTGTGTAATTTAGAGCAGTCATTAATGATTGACAGTAGAAGGATCAGCCACATGATCATATAACCTAGGCCTACTCGTGTACACAGCCAAAGGCAATGAGATGAATGGCAACATGCAAACATGCCCTAACACACCTGCTACATCACCTCTCACATATGTATGGAAATTCCCAAAAATAGATGCATGGATTAAAAATGAGAAATTCTGGAGAAGGGAACAGTAAGGCACTTGTATAATGACCACAGCAATCTAGATATCAATATGGATGGGAAAAGTTCTGTGAGATCCTACCCATAGATGAAGAGCTGCAGGTAAACAAATGCAGCTGAGAGAGGGAAAAGAAGTTTTCTTCTTCAGGGACACACATCCTGATAAGTTACCCAGTCCCAAGTGCTCGTCCCTAAAAATACACACAGGAACAAAACAAAAGGGCTCAGTAGTGTGTGTGTGTGTGTGTGTGTGTGTGTGTGTGTGTGTGTGTGTGTGCTCATGCATGCATGCATGCGTGTACAAGTGTACATGCATGTGACTGACAAATATAATTAAAGATTCAGTGAGGGTAGATACAAGGGGAGTTAGGAAGGAAATCACACCTGCACATAAACTGGAAAGTTATAGAAGCAAGGAGAAGAAGGAAAGTTTCTGGAAGTGGAACATGGGAAACTGGGTTGACACTAGTGGACTTACTTAACCAATCAGAGTCAACTCTGGATTGGGGATTTCTATCAATGGAAAGTTTTGTGCTCTCCAAAATTCAAGTTGAGACATAGTCTCCAGTGAAACTGGACCTGGATCTGTGGCTTTGGGAAGTGATTGTGTTATGAAGATTCTACCCTCATGGGTGCCATTGATTTACCTATAAAAGAGGGTGATAGAGAGGTCATCTCTTTTTTGTATTGTTTGCTTCGGCCACATGCAGACACAACATTCCTCTCCTCTGGAGGAGGCTCATTTTGAAAATGGATACCTATACCACATACCTATACCTATAGGTACCCTGATCCAGGACTTCCAACCTCTAGAATAGTCTCTGTTATCTGAGAGACTGAAAAATGTAAAAACCTGATTCATGGTAGGAAAAGGAGACAGACAGGGTCTGTCATCAACAACAGTGTGCTGAGTGGTTGGTTAGAATTTTCTTCTTGCCAATTGTCATTACTAAGTAAGGTAACCAGTAGATCATTCAATTTGGCCATGGTCATCATTACAAATGTATGTTTATAGTAAAACAACATGTAGTATACTTTAGATTTATACAGCTCATATCCATCAAGGATGCTTAAGTAAACCTGCAAGGAGGGGGCACATTTTCACACCAGCCTAGTTTCCCTTGGCGATCTAGTCAGGAAAGCCAAATGTGATGTTTTTAAAATGAAACCTCTACTTCCATAAACTTTCAGAGTGGCCTCCACCAGAAAGATATATGATAGTAGAAAGGACATCATTTATTGAAAAAGAGCAAACAAATGGACGTTTCTTGGAACCTGATGCTCTCCTCTTCAATAAACTCCCAAGAACTTGTTAGCTGAGCCACTTTGAAGGGAAGTCTAGCCCAGCTGTGTGATGCATGTCTGTGCTTTTTGCAGTTAGGGAACACTAAGCATATATCTCTTAAGAACTTCTAGCTATCAAACCCCCCCCAAAAAAAGGAAATGGGGGATGAACACTAAACAAGCAAAAAAAAAAAAAAAAAAAAAAAAAAAAAAAAAAAAAAAAACTCTTGGCCTTTTCTGCAAATCAAGTGATGTATGTGTACTGATTACAAAGTCAGAAAACAAGAAGTGGGATCTGGTATTTCTCAGGCAGAAGGCTGAGTGGTTTAAAACCTTCCTGGTTATTGCCCTCTTCTTGTCTCTGTGGAGAATGTCAACAGCATTGCTTTAATCTGATGATTTGAACACCACCATCATCACAGTAACTCCCCAAGTACTGGGTGACAAATTTAATACTGATTATTTAATTTACTGCCTTCAACATCTCCATGAGAGACACAATTAAGAACACTGCTTTGATACAAGGAGACAATAGACATACATGCTCAAGGACACACTGAAGAACTGCAATAGCACATCTAAACCCAGTCACATGGTCACTGCACCAGTGTCCTAGGCACTCAGGATTAGTGGGAATGAGAGGATGTAAAGGAAGAAGAGGGACTTTATATGAATCTCTTAGAATACAACTTGTATCCTAGTTCCTCTGGTGATGTGAATTATAGAGATTCATATAAAGTCCCTCACAGAACTAGGAAGGGACAAGTCCCCCAGACCTCAGGTATAGTGGGGGAGGACAGCTAATGGAGAGAGAAGTAGGAGAAAATGAGAGGGAGGAGAGGAAGGCATGTGCGACCAGGAGGATTGAGCCTGGTTAGGAATGGAAAATAGGAAAGAGAGAGAGAGACAGAGACAGAGAGAGAGAACATAAAAGAGGGAGCCAATATTGGTTTGAAGATAAAGTTGAACACAAAGAAAGGTCGAGGGAACTACAAGACTGCTCCCAACTAACAATCTCAGCTTCCGTGGAAAGGCTATCATAAATGCCCTTCCCGGAGAGTGAGATCAACAACTAACTTCTCCATGGAGTCCTCAACTAATGCCTGTTGAAAACAGGAGCAAACACCCATACATAAACACTGAGTCAAACTAGAACCCAGAAGCAGATGGAGAGGACAAGACCATGCGGTAGAAGTACATAGAGACAGCTTACCTGAACAAGGAGGAGCTAAAGGCCACTAGACTGATAGCTGGGAAGCCAACAGGGGTCTGACTCGGACCCCCCTGAATATGGGTCTCAGCCAGAAGGTCTGAGCAGTCTAAGAGACCTCAGACAGTGGAGCCAGGATGTATCCCTGGTGCACAAAAGGACTTTGCAAACATATCCCCCATGGAGGGATAACTGCCTTATTCTAGAGATAGGAGAGAAGCCCTAGTCCCTACTTCACAGGACCTGTCAGATCTACATGACCCCAACTGGATGGCATTCCCCTACATATTGTATTGTGGTGGGGGGTTGGGAGGGGAGGGTGTTTAGAGTGCATGGGAGAGGGTAGAGAGGGCAAAAGGGAGGGAAGGGGGGAGGGAGGGCTTGGGGGGAGGGAGGGAGGGAGGGAGAGGGAACTGGGATCGACATGTAAAATAATAATAATAATAATAAAAAAAACGCTTTGACTCCAAAATTTAAGTTGAAGAACAAGTTACTGGGGAAAAGTATTTCTATTTTTGTTTCCACAGAAAATGAAAAGATGTGGATTCCTTCCAGACTAATGTGGTTTGATCACACCAGACCGCCTGAAACAGAGTACAAGCTGATCCTACATTCCAAACAGCTGGACAAAACAGCCCTACAGACTACAGCTAGGATATCTGAATCTTCTTCGAATCCCCCAAGACAGCGCCCCTTACCAGCAGGAAGTAGTTTGGAAAGAACGACGCCCAAATTCCCAAATAGTGTGTATAAATGTTTGTTTTCATTTAATTGGACTTTGTTATATAAAATTAAATAAAAAATACTCTATATGCATAAAAAAAAATAAAAAAAATTAAAAAATGGAAAAATAAATAAATAAATATAAGCTTTAAAAAAAAAAAAAAAAAAAAAAGGAAGAAGAGATCTTTTAAGTGGAATGAGGAAACTCACCACGAGTGTTAAGAACATCCAGTCAGAAGTGGTTAATGCCAGTGTCCTCTCAACACAGCCTGCCTCATCACCACAGTACAGTGTCATAGTAAAATGGGACAAGTGATTATAGACAATAGATAGATAGATAGATTCTGTTATAATAAATAAATAACCCTATGCTGAACCTTTTAGTAGCAAACTAAGAGAAAGAAGAATTTCTAGGATCCAACCAATAGATGACAAAATGAGTTTTCTAACATAGTTTTTCTGGATCTCCATTAGCTTCCCCAGGGATATGCTGTTTTCA